TTTTTTTTTTCTGGCCATTATCGTAAAGTCTGCGTCGTCAATAATATTTCCTTTCTCTCCAATTTAAAGTCGTTTTTATGTTTCTAGGCGGGATGGTCATGGATCTCTATCCTTTATCAGATTAGTTGGACGATCGACGAGATTACACGACCGACGAGAATAGACGATCGACGAAAATCGTGAGAGCATTGGTTTTAATACACCGTAGATGAGAAATGTTTGACAATTGAATTGACGAAAGTAGATGTTGAATTTATGACAGGATCGTTTAAACTTGAAACTGAATCGATGGGAAGGCAGTGAATAGACGAAACATAACTGAATCGACGACATGAATTTTTGCCCTTTTGGCCGCCCATACTTAACAGTCACGAGAGTCAACGTAGGCCTAGTAGTAGACAGAGGATAACCAATTATATCACATGGTCACACTATACCTGTACAAATGAATGGTAGGCGGAATCTTTGTCATGGGGGATTCTCTGTTACGTTACACCTGTAGACCACCACGTCATACCACCTGTAGGCCTAAACCGCGTTCAGCAGAAAACAATGGTACATGTATCTTCTCGGCTGAATTATTCTCATTTAACACTTCTGTTACTTTTTTAGTATAAATGTAACACCAGTAGACTATATAGGTCCTATGTGCTAATAATTATTGAGCTAGATTTATGTCTGTGTAGTCATGTCTTTGATGATTGTACCTAATTTGAAAAGGACCTGTGTTAGCATTAAACTCATTCATTCATCCATTCCAATCAGAAAGATTTTCACAGATGCCATTGTGCTAGATGAGCTTGTATTGTCTCATCTAACACAATTGTCCTTTCCAAACGCCTCCCTTGGGTTTATCAAATGGATAGACTATATAGTATCCACCTTTGGTGGCACTATGTATATAGGGTGGCGGAAAATGAATATTCATACTAAAACATGTAATTGTAGTGGACTGACAGAAAGTATGAAATACAAAGAAGAGTAAAACATTTTCAGCTGTTGATCCATTTTTATTCTAAATGATAATTTATATTATTTGTTACAAAAAATTAAATCATCATCTCACTACTAGTACCACGCTCTTCTACTGATAAATCTGAGCAATAGATCCTCATGGGCCTAACCGGTCTTTTTTCAATCGGCGCGTAGTATTTTCACAGCTCGTGACGTCCTCAACATGGAGGATGTGGAAAAGCAGATCTTGTTACTGAAGAAATACCTTGAGAAAGGGCCTGCGGAAGAGAAGGTTAGCCGAAGAAAATAAGGAGTAGTTTCTTTACAGATAACCTTTGTTAGTTATGATATTTTTCTTCAGAATTTCGAAAAATTCAAACGTTCGATGCTAGTGTGCAGCTGCGTCATGTGGCAATTTCACTTATAATGTTAAAAGCAAATATGTGTAAGTACTGTACCATGGAGAGGCGATAGTGGGAACCCAATAGCCTACCCAGCACCTCTGACCCGTCTTACATAAAGCAATAAAATAAGATAAATAAATGAATAAAATACTTAACTATTATAACGACAGACCTACCCTTAATGCATTCCTTTGAACTTGACTTTCCCCAGATTTTCAAAGTGTTCAGGAAGTTGGAAAAGTTGCCTGTTACTCTTGACGTGCTACAGTCCACGGGGATCGGGAAAACTGTGAACCACCTGCGAAAACATGAGGCAGTGGGAGAACAGGCCAGGGCCCTTGTCACCAAGTGGAAGGGTTTTTTAAAAGCAACACCTGAAGAGAAAGTTGACAGGTACAAAGCTTGCTTATATTCTGGTTCAAAATTAACATTCAGGGCTGTTGCCAGGAAGGGGGTAGTTCTAGAGGTTCAATCAAACCGGTGAAGGTCTGCTGTGGGTACAATTTGATCTAGGTAAGTGAAGATTTCATGGGAAAAGGTCCACTTTTTCATAAAAAGGACCATCCCTTTGAAATTGTTGGCTACAGACCTGACATGTTTATGTTGAGCTCATAGTACAGAAATGTTGCAAAATTTCTGTCAGATTTAGCTACACATGTTTTGATGAAAGGAAATTCTTATGCACTAAGAGCAAAGCAGAATGTTTTTATTCGATCAACAACTAATATTCTGCCTGTTGCTTACCTACAAATTTATTTATTTTTTTTATTTAAAGAGGCTATTCACCTATTGAGGCCCAAATGAGCCAAATGAGTCATCATGAAACTCACAGCACTTGGCATTTGTATTGATATTATTCCCTATTACTATGTATTTTCTGGCAACACACTGCATGGAAACTTGATTTTGTGTCACTAGGTTAGCACACAATTTAATTTTCAATTAATTATCTTTTTGAGTAAAGATATGAAAAATACCTTGCAGATCTCCTCAGAAAGATGGTGGTGACATTTCCAAGGTCAAGGTCAAGAAGAGTGACAATGAGAGTCATGACCATAGGAAACATAAAAGCAAGAGTGGAAAAGGTCACAGAAAAGAGAAGGCAAGCAACTCTAGCATTTGTCATGAAGAGGAAAGAAAACACACCTCTGCCTCTAGACTACCCAGGGAGTGCAACTCAGAGAAACCAGAAAATGACATGGAAAAGACCAGCTCAGGCGACTCCATGCAATACGCAAATGGAGAGAAAGACCAAAGGAAAGTGTCCAGTTTTGCAGGTGACACGCCTGCGATAGCAGATCAGAGAGAGAAGTCTCCTTGTCATTATGATTTACATACAGACAGTAAGGATGTGCAATATAAAAAAGACATAAACTCTAAAGGTACCTTGGGGAAAATGGAGCCCCAGAATAATATGGTGAATGAGGATCTCGAAGATAATCCAGGGATGAGTTTCGAAGACTTCTTGAACTATGATGCTGGTGCTGCCAAACGAAAAGTATCCAAAAAGTCAAAACCACTGGAAAATGCAGAAGAGAGGAAAAATGCATCTTATCTCACAAAACCCAAAACTGATTTGACAAAAGATGCCAAAGATACTGTTAAGGGTTCTGATGTTGCCAAGAACAGTTCTCAATTGCACAGAGAACATTCTAGTGACTCTGGACACAAGCATTCGAAAAGTAAAGAAAAACGAGATCATAAACATAAGAGTGGTCATTCCAGTGGTCACCATCATGATGGTCATTCTAAGGCCAAGCATCATCATAACGATGGCAAACACAAAGATAAGTCAAGGTCGGTATCAGAGGGGTCAAAGTCCAGCAGTTATCACAAGGATAGGTCAGGGTCAAGGTCAGGGAAAGAAGGGTCAAGGTCAGAGAAAGATGGGTCGAGGTCAGCTAAACATGGAGAAAAAAGAAAAGCAGATGTGAAGATGATTGATGTTCCAACTCCATCCAAACAGGTTATTAGAAACAATCCACATGATTGTAGTTCTTGTTAGATATAGGTCTTAGTATGGGAACAGTTTGATAAAATTTTCAAACCTCAGTAATTAGTTTATTTCAATATATATAAATCTTTTACAAGCTCTCTGTCTTAATAATTTCAACAATTCCCAACATTGTTCCACTGGCAGATCTAGGGCTTTGCTTGGGGGGGGGATAATAAGATTTTAACATATTTGTCTTAAGAAGTACTGGTTAGAACTTAGAATGGACTCTCTCTATCAGTTTGTTTCCATGGTTACAGATAAAGCTGTCTCCCGGTGACATCCTAGCAACACTACCAGAGATCCAGCCTCACTATAAACCACTGCCACACATGGAGCTAGAGGACGAGAACAGGAAGAAGAAAGGTGAGAGAGAGACAAAAGAGAAGTGAAAATGTGAAGAGTAAGCTAAGGAGAAAAAAAAAGGAAAGAGAGAGAGAGAGAGAGAGAGAGAGAGAGAGAGAAAGAGGAAAATGGCAGAGGGAAGAGAGGACATGACAGAGAGTGAGAACAAGTTTGTGGATGAAAGGGTACAGAAAGGACATTTTAACAGTAGAGAGACTGAAGTAAAAATGTGAAGAGTAAGCAAAGGAGAAAAAAGGAAGAAGAGAGAGAATGAGAGACAGAAGAATGGCAGAGGAAAGAGAGGACATGAGAAAGAGAGAGAGCAAGTTTGTGGGTGAAGCATTAAGAAAGGGTATTGTAACAGCAGAGAAAGAGAACGAAAAGGAGAGAAAGAGAAATCTTAGTGAGAAGTAGAAGTCATGAGAAAAAGGGAGGGGGAGAGATAGAGGAAGTGGGGACTGTTTATAAAGTTATGATGAATATATTTAAAATGTCTTAATTTTGAAATACACCCTGCTTCCTATAAATATGCTTTCAGATTCCAGTTGAATTGTTGAATTCAAGATATATTAAAATTACAATGAAAAACAGGCCTGGCTTTTATCAGTATCTCTTTGATACTAATGTATTGTGGTAAGTTGTACACAAATCATTTTGTCTTCCTCATTACATTTTTAGGGGAATTTGTGGATGAATCTCTAATTGGCACCAAAAGCCATTCTCGTACTCAGGTTTACTCAGGCAGAAAGCAGGTCTATCTCACAGGTATTGTATTATTAAAACTCTGGTAGATTGTGACCCCCCCCCCCCCCCCCCCCCCCCCCCCCCCCCCCCCCCCCNGCAACAAATATATGCATAAACTATATAATAGCAAATTACTTAAAAATTTTGACGATGGGCACTTTGCCAATGGTTATCAGCACTCATCCTTTTTGCTATAAGTGATGAATAACACTCTGTAGAAAATTCTTGAAGATGATTTTCAATTCAGAATGTGCTTGTTCAATTTGCTGTGATTGGGGGTGGGGTATTAAACTGTCATGTATTGCACTTGACATGCCCCGTCAATACCCTGATACTCTCAGCATACTAGGAACAAAAGCACAATGTATGTATATATATTAGATTCAAATTAAAAGACTTTTAAGATTTTAAATAGATTTTAACAGATTTTTAATAAGTTCTTTACTGTCGTGTATGATGTGTCAACTTATATAGCATCAGGTTTATCCTTCTTTGTTTTGTTCAAATTTCAATAATAATCACCTTTTTCTTTTTTTTTAAGGAAATGCTTGCAGGACTTATGCCTTAAAGCATCTAGCAAAAAAATAAAAAATAAAAAATTGACTCTGTAGAAAAGGCTGAAGATCATTTAGGAGTTTATCAACTTAAAGAGGAAAGTGGAAAGACAAGTCCAATTGTTGAACATGAAGATGATCTTGATTTGATATAAAGAAATACCAAAGACATGGACACTAGCCAAATTTTTTATTTGATTGATTTTTTATGCCAGGAGTTGATAAATGGCGAAAAAGGTGTTACCGGACAATTTTTTTTATTCTCTTCTTTCTTTGGTTCAAACAGAAATTAGGACTTAAATAGTTAATTTGATAAAAGTCCTTTTTTAAAGTGTAAACTTTTAGCTAATAAAGCATGGCAATAAAGACATTTTGTTTAATATGAGAGATAAAAAAGACTTTTCTTTTTTACACAGTTCAACATCAAGATCAAGATAATGTGTGTACAGCTGTAAAACAGGGTTCTGAAAGATGCCATACAAGCCATAGTAAAAATAAATATAATTTATTGGGCACAACAAAAGGATTTATTTGGGATGAGATTATCAGTGTTAGACAAGTTTCCCAGGGAGCTTGGCTCTTTTAAAACAAACTCCAGATGTTTCTTCCTTAATTGCAGCCAGGATGTCTCCTCTGTGTTTTCACACTTAGACTTAATTACTTTCAAGTGGCACTTGTTAGACAGAATTAGGGGGTGCAACTATATATGCCACTTTGCCTCTGTAAGAGCAGCTAATTAGAGGCATATGAGTGTAGTTACCCAGGAGAAAGTTATTCCTCTCCCTCACTTGTCTCATAAAATTCACAGCATTCAGTTGTGCATTATTAAACAAAGAAATTTATAAGGTGAATTTTGGAAGAGTTATTCAAATTTCCAAAGCTTGTATTTTATTATTAAGGTGAATTTTGGAAGAGTTATTCTAATTTCCAAAGCTTGTATTTTATTATTAAAAGGGCCCTGAATTTTTTCAATCCAGAAGCAGAGTCCTGAAAAGTGTGTATACTATAAGGGGGGTTCTCATCTTTTATTCTGATCACAGGCATTTTCACCCCCCCCCCCCCCCCCCCCAACACACACACACACATAAATAACGATCATACTCTAAATAATACATAATGACATAATGTGCAATTGTAAGAATTTGCATAAGTAGGGTCAAACAGTATTTCTTCTAGGGTCCTTATAAGCTTTCATTTTAATGACAAATGATTTCCAGTAAGAAATAACATCTATCACTAACTACTAATGAGCCTTGTCTGAATATAAATCTCAAACATAGAGCTAAACTTAGTTTATATTTTTTCATATTGTTTTTTAATGATTTTCATTGGAAGTGTTGAAGGTTCTCACACAAGAGATGTTGACTTAAATCATATACAAACTGCCAGCACATATTAATCAAACTTCATATTTAATGAAAGAACAACAATTTAAAAATTCAAGGAATTTACGTGTGGTGCTGGCATTTTCTTCAGTTGATCTTCATCACCCTCATCTTGAGAAGTAATAATTGTCGGCTCTCCGGGTAGTCTTTGTAGCGCTTTGGCATTGTGGTACTCCACCTCAAATTTGGTTGCATACAGAAAAGTTGGGTTAGATTTATCGTGTAGGCTACGAGAGAGTCCCAAAAGATAGTCATCAGATGTTTTAGATATAGAACCTCTTGCTGACTCCTGAATAGCTTCAATAAATAAAGGATCCTCCTGCCGTTTGACATCTGTTAACAAAATGTTATGACGGAAGACTTGGCTAAAGATGTCTGACTGAAAAGCAAAATGCCCATAATCTCCATAGTCATGATTTGGGACAGGTGGCAGTTGATAAAAATCACCACTGAAAATTACTTGCACTCCCCCGAACAGAATCTCAGATCCTCTTACAACACGAATAATATACTCCAATTGCTCGAACATCCTCTTGGATAACATGGACACCTCATCCAAAATAAGGCAGTTCATATTGGTGATTTCGTTGTATCTGTCTCTGTATTGAGGGTCCTTCAAAATACGAGTGGCCAGATCTTCATTGTTATGTCTCCCATCATCTAGGGCAAAAGCTGAATGTACTGTGCGGGCACCAATCTTTTTTAAAACGAGGGCAGATATCCCTGTTGTTGTGACTACTGTTACCTAAAAGACAGAAAGATAATGTGCAGTAGTTCATGAACATGCCATCTTAAATTTTCAGATAAATAGCACAAATGTCATAATAAAAGGCTAAAAAAAATTAGACACAAATGAATTTCTGGATTTTTCTGGTCTACTGAATGACTGCCCTTCAATCTTATTTTCTGTTATAATGCTTGATTCATTGGACTAAAATTAGGGTAGTGCACCATTGTCCTATAAGGCATCATGGGTTTTAATAAGCCCAGTATATGTATGCCCGGCAGTATTTTATTTCGATTATTATGTTTAAGTTGGATTATTTTTGTTTCAGAAGCTTATTCTATTTTATTGTCTCTATGGAGGTATATGGGGACTTTACGACATTCGGTTTGAAGGCTTTAACCACTTGTTATAGTTTATTTTTGCATTGTGTTGGATTAATGTGGCAGTCTTAGGTTGTCCTAGGTGGTTTTCAAGTTTATGTACCCGGTTTTAATATCATTTAGCGATTTTACGACAATCGTTTACTATCCAATCAAGGTGACAGCCGAGCGTGTTTTACACTATCGGTCTTTATGGGGTGTGACTGAATTGCGCAATACACCGCAATACAGTGCAGTACACAGCGCAATACTTGAAAAAAAAAAAATTAAAAACAAGTCCAGTCACAAGTAACATGGGAAAGGGTGAGTCCAAACAAAATAGGTTGATATGAAAGCAAAATATATCAATAAGTAATGAATATTGCTGATACACCGCAAGGGATTGACACAATTTTTTCAATGTTGGGTCAGCCGCCATGTTGGCGAGTGGCTCTTCTTGGCCAGTAATATATCCAAGAAGAGCTACTCACCAATATGGTTGCTGACCCAACAATATAAAAGTCTTGCCGATTTGTTAAGTTTTATCTACGATATTACTTATATTGTAATGTAGTTTGCTTTTATATCACCCTACTTTGTTGGAAATGGCCGTTTCTTTTGTGTGACTGCAACTGAACTTGGTTTTTCAAGTGTATTCACATTGCGCTGTGATGCGCTGTATTGCAGTGTATTGCGCATTTCAGTCACACCAGTCTTTATGAGACATATGTGACTATGTCAAAATGCTACCAGTACGTGAAATGTACTTGTATCTTTGAACTTGCATGTACCCAGTTCCTTACATTATAAGTAACAGCAGGGGCAGCCAGTGAACAGAAGTGTTTTTTCTTAAATGGCTGGAAGTTTACCTAGGCTAATTTCTTACCATGACTAATGACTATCTACCCTTCGTAATTGAAAGTACGCATAAAAGTAAAACCAACATAAACCTGAATGCTTCTCTGACGTTAAAATAGAAAGTAAGGTTGAAAGACACATGGTAAGTTTGAGAGCTATAACCACGCCATACATTGCAGTAGTGAGACACACAGAAACGTTTATTCTAATGACTATTATTGACTGGAATCGTCTGGACAACTCGTCATGCCATTTGTAAAAGTAATCTCTGTACCCAATGATGTCACCAAGGTAAAATTCTTGGCCTGTATCAAGAGAAATCTTTTTGAAATTGCAGCTTGTGCAATTGGTGGATGTAACAATGAGAGGATTTCTCTGACAGAGGTTGCTATTTGAGGCCTTACCTGGATTAATACTGAAGACTGAAAACAGTCAAAGTCAGAGCAGTATAGCACTGAAAGACTAAGCCTAAGCCAGGTACTGTAGGTTACTTCCCCCACCAAGCGCTGCTGATGAAAAAGTTTGTTACAGTACAGAGTATGAGATAAAAAGATGAAAAATATAGAAATTGTTTTTGTTTTAGGTCAAATTCAACCCCGTATAACAAACAATTTCTCCCCTGCGAGGATCCCAATAGCCGACCTAGAAGATTTGAACTTAACATGTACTGGTGTCTCATATTCGGATCCAACACCAACATGGAAGAAAGATGGAAAACATGTGTCAGTAAACACTAGTATATCCATAGAAAATGGCCAGACATCTACAGGTATTCCTACCAGCACATTGATCTGGAGAAAGGTTCCTCTGGAAGCAAGTGGAATGTATACATGTCAGTTTGCTGGGGTTGGAGAAGACACAGAAGAAATATATATAATGAAAGGTATTGAGACTAATGGATTACTCATGGCAGATTATTTAATGGTTGAATCATCAAGGTGTTTTTTTTTTTACAGAATTTAATTTTTGACATTTTTGGTAGTTTGTTTTTAAAGTTTTATTCTGATACATAATTACTCTTATTTTTCAGCGGAAACTGTCAATGTTCAAGTGTCTCCATTTTCTGCGGTAAACCTGACTTGCACTGTTTTTAATTGGCAGCTGTATGAAGGTCCTCAGTTTTACAAGAATAATACTCTTCTGGATGCAAATAACAACAACTATGAGCAGTCAGATGAAATAACCACTTTGAACAGAGGCATAAGCCAGGGGAAAGTTCATTCTTTCAAGATTCTGAATGCCAGTAAGTAATTAAATTACAATTAGATTTTTATTATTGTGTGCAAATTGTTTACTGCCAAATGCTAAAGATGATTTACTTAGGATAAAAAAGATGAGACTCGTTTTTGCATATTTTAGAAATTTGTCTTTATTTTATTGCAAAAAAAGAAAGTCCTTTGGTGTAATAACACAACAATATTCAAAGTTTTTTTCTGTAACAATAAAAACAAATAATATTTAATTTATGGTTTGAAAAAGCACGTTTATAATGTTAAAATTTTTTTCAGCTAAATATGATGGTGGTAAATACACATGTATGGTAACAGTGAGATATGGTAAAAACAATGGAAATACTGAGCATCTTAGAAGTGACTTCATTTTAACTGGTAAGGTGTAGATATACTGTAGGGGCTCCATATAAAAATTGTTGATTTGTAGTAGGCACTGGTACAGTCTAGTAATTTGAAATGTATACCTATGTGAATTGGTTAAATCCAACTGGTGACCAATAATTTTCCAGATGCATCACATTTTCTTAATATACATATATAAACTGATTGGACAAAATGAAGTCTATTTTGCCTCCAACATGAATTATTGAATAATCGACTACAATTCATCAATATAACACAATACTAGTACATGATTTGTGTGACTGTCAGTTTTTTTATCCAACAGATATAGATATAACTTCATTCATGGCTGTTTATAAAAATTACATTTATTTTTTAAAATCTGACTTTTGCATCTTTTTTTTGTGTTTTTTTTTTTAGTGTCTGAGTCTTCAGATGTCACAAGAGGTGGTGGAATAAGTTGGCAAAAGATGCACATTACCGGTTTCTTCATAATCTCACTGCTGTCTCAAGCACTAGGATATTTGATTTTGTAATGTAACAGCTACATGTACGTATGCATGTTTGCATGTATGTTTCTTTGCTTTTTTTTTTAATCCTGCAAAGCAGTATCAAGATATGAGTGGAGAGTGGTGGAATTCATTTTAGTTAGAACTGTTTCTCCCCCTCCCCCTCTTTTTGTTATATAATGGTGTATACCTGATGTCACAGTTGTACTTTCACACCAAAAGTGGTCATTATGTTAATTGACACTTTTGAGAATACTGGTAATTTTCATTGTAAACCTGCCACAGTATCGATCAGTATGTACCTGACTGAATATCAGGCAGGTATCAGGTTCCAAAGGATTTAAGGCTGAAATGGAGTGTTGCCATTAATTGTGCCTGTAAATATACAAAAATGCCTTTAAAATCTCGGTTTCATGATAGATGTCAAGCATCTGTTCGTTGTCGCTTCCTTAGCTCAACTAAAAGCATGGGCGGATCCAGAGCAATTTTCTGACAGTCTTCCAAATTATCTTTGTTGATCCATCCTCCATTTCTGACTGTCTTCCGAGAGAAAAAAATTAGATATCCACCAATGTAAATTGAAAATGTGACCGTCTTCCGGAAGACCCAGAAGGCTGCCTCAGTCTGCCCCTGATAAGATCCAAAGACAAAAAGGCGCACAAAAAAATCTAAAAACATGTTTCACGTTCAACTGCTTTACTTAATCTCCCCCTGCTAGAGATTTTGCAGTAACTCATCAAGATAAGTCAACTGCACAACCCTTTTAAAAATTAACTCTGCATCATCTCCTTTCCTTGAAAATTTACCTCTTCTAGTAAAAAAAAATTTAAACACAGGCTTGGGATGGAAAAAGAGTCGGACTATTCCTTTTCCATAAAGACAGAACTGAGACATTAGTGATTTTTTTCTGGGTCTGTCTCCTAAGCGGCTCACTCATCTCTGACAGTGAAGGGAGAAATCTTGACAAATAGTCTGAATTGCCTTTACATTTTCAGGCCTGGACATAAAAAAGAACAGCATCGATCTCTGATGGGTCTGCCTTAACTCCAGTTGCAGTGAAGAGGTGTCCCTTGTATGCAACTTCAGTCATTTTGTAATACTTCCATCTTCCTGGGGTTGAACTTTAAGCCAACCTCTCGAGCACATTCTAGAAGTGCATGTAGATTCTCATCATGATCATTCTCGGCTTCCCCTTCGGTATCTCTGCTGCCATATACAAGTATGTTGTCTTTAATGACACTTACTCCTTTAAATCCTTTGAGAGCTTGTTTCAGGCGTCTCTTGTACTCCTTGCTGAAGAAATTTCCTGAGAGCATCAGAGTTATCTATATCTTCCATACGGTTTCCAAAAAGTTGTCAAATAACTGCTGGCTGCGGACAGTTTGATTTGAAAAAAAATTTATCCTTAGCATTCATTACTGTGAATAACTTAGCCTTTGCCAGGTCTGGCAATACCTCATCTACTGTTGGCATTTGAAGTTTTGGCCTCTTTATTACCTTGTTTAAATCCAAACAAATCCTAAGTTTGTTACCCTTCTGAACTGTGACTAGACTGCCTATCAGTCATTGGATTCTGTCACTGGAGTAATGCTTTCTTGTTTCTCCAACTCCTCCAGCTTGTTTTTCAACCACGAATGCAGTGGCACTGGCACTCATCTAGGAGTATTCTGTACGAGCTGCACATCATGATCAATTTCTATGACATATTCACCCAAATCATCATTATAATCTTCCATAATCTTCTCTTTACTAGTACGCATAGCCGTCTTTCTGACAAAGTTTATTTGCATCCTTTTTTGCTCCAGACAAAGTTTAAGTCTGACTATAGGCCATGCAGCTTCTTCAACCACATCAAAGGTTTTTATTATGACTGGGCCACCATCTTTGACTTCTCTGGTTCTTCCCTCCTAAAAAAGAACCAGCTTTTTTGTTGTCATAGCAAGCTGTTGCCCCTGTAGGAAAACCAGAGCTGAGTTTGGAGAAGATATTTGTGGGTCTAGGGCGTGGTATTTTCTTCTGAACCTTATTAGAGATTTTTAGGGCTCCTTCAATATCCTTCATATTTGCATCCATATTGTCACCAAACAGCTCCTTGGTGACAGGATTCTGTGGAGAGACCAAAGCTTTGTATTTCTCATTAATGTCTGGTTTGGCGAGTTCTCTGCGAAACATAGAAATGTCATGTACGGATGCAGCAAGGATGCTGAATTCATCCGTCATCTTTGTGTTGTAAAGCAAATTATTTACACTTTTACTAATTACAGATAACAATTAAAGCGGAATCAAAAGAGTAAAAGAACAGAGAGTTATTGAGTTATTGTAAGTTAAGTTTCTTCAAGAGTCAACAAGTGTAGAACATGTTTTTAGTGTCAGAAAAAGATGGAAAAGGTCAAAGTCAGAAACAGTTTATGTGATTGGTTAATTTCATAACATAGTCTAATTTGGATCATCTATTTATCACATGATAACTGAGTTTTGGATAAGGTCCAAGCATGAGTAATTCGAATAATATTTTAGATATCTTTAATTGAAAACAAGTCTCTTAGGGATTACCTAATAAGGAAATGTTGCATGGTGACTTGCAACATGCGAATGGAAAATATTTTGTAATCATGCAAAGACAATGGAAAAGAAAACAAGTAAATGCGTGATCAGTACGGAGAAATTGAGTATAAATATTTGTGAAGTTGTATGAAGCTAGAGTCGGTGAATAAACGTTCGAAAGCTCCAGACTGCTGTCGTCATTCCTCACTATAACAAGTGGTGGAGGAAAAATCGATCCCTGCTCTACCGAGGCAAGCGGAACGGCGATACAGTTATGGTGATGACGGCAGCAGGAGCGTAGACACCGATGGGTTCACACCATCCACCCAAGGGCAAACATCGTCAGTGAAGAGAAAACTGAGTATGCTAGGTACTGAAAATCGCCAAAAGCAACAATTAATACCCAAGCAACAATTAATAACTGAAAAAAAAATGAAGATGTTGTCATATTTGACTTTAGCGCCAAAAAAGTTTACTGGTAACAAAAATGAAGATGTAGAAAGATGGTTAAAACAATTTGAAAACTTATAACTTTGAAGCTCATATTCATGAGTTGGTCATATAATTATGGTCTTTTGATAAAGGGTAAAAATGTCATGTTTCATATAAGTTGAAAAGCGTGAAATCTTTTTAAAATTAATTATTATGTACCAATATTGATATTGATGACTTTTTAGCACAGAATGGAATACTCAGTACATTTGATGACTCTCTATGGTCTATTTGCTATATTATAATGATGGTGATGAATGTGATGGAAATATAAAGGATAGGCCTATTATCTAAAATGATCTGCATTTTTCTATGCAAATTTTTGATGTATGTTAATTGTATTGGCCGAAAGTATTCTAGATTAAAATTAAGACAATCATTACAGTTGGAAATTCAGTATATTCACTTTATTTTGTATTACTTTTATAATCTATTGGCCTTTTTTTATTATATTATGACTTTTTTCTTACATTATATATCAAAATGACCTACTTTATGTTCTAAGGTAATAATATTCGGAATAATGATATTCGGAAAGTATTTGTGAATAACCCAAATAAGGTAAGCTAAAGTCAAATATTACAACTTGCCATGAGGAAATTATTATTATAATTATTCCTTTTTTGCATGTTGTTTAAGACTAATTGGTACTATACAAAAGGGAATTCAAAACCAGACCCAGTTGTTAGTTGCCTATATAAGTTTATTTATAAAAGTTGGTGCTGTGTTATAAGTTATTTATACATGCTGTCTATTTATACATCTAGACAAATGTCTTTTTTTTAAATCTATTTATTGTATATGGTATATTGTACTTTATCTTATTTATATATTGCTCTTTATTACATGTAAAAATGCAAAAAAAAAAAAAAACAAAAAAAAAACATAAGTTTCATTTGCATAAAATTAACAAGTCAGGAGGGAGTAATTTAATCATTTTGGATAAGAATTTTTCTTCAATAGGTTTTTTTTAAGCTGAATATCAATGTTCTCCAGTATAACAATAAATGTTTCAATATCGCTATCAACCGGCTGTTTTCTTTGATATAGCTATGGTAAAAAAAATTAAAGATTACAATTTGATGTTAACATTAACAATCAGCATCATGTTTTGTCAGACCTCAAATTCACAGATATACAATCGTGTACAATAAAATCATCAGCAATAAAGTAAGCTTTACCAAGATTATTACTGTGTATCTCAGAGACCACCTATACCATTTCTTTTAAATATCAAAACTACATTGCACAACATTACATTTAAGAACAGCCTAGAATGCATTATTGTCTTCAACTGAAATTATGCAGGATTCAATAAGTTTTGCCAAAAATCCATAAAGAACTACATGTTGATACTTATACTGCTTCGTCTTCAACTTAAAAACGTACAAACAAATTAAAAACATGATATTTATGAAAAAAAGAAGAGATAAGAAAAAATCTGTATTCTTGTTCTTGGATATATCACACATTAAAAGAAGAAATAAAAATATCTGTATTCTTGTTCTTGGATATATGCAAGGTCAACTAACAGTGCTAAAAATGTGAAATCACCCATCAATAATATGGTCTGCTGTGAAACAGTCATAATTTATCCATCCAGACCTAGATGCGCTTGTTACTCTAAACACTGAAGCATTTTAGTCACTTTATTTATATGTTTAAACAAAGGCAAAAATATATCTATGCAAAGAAAGTAAGAGATACTAACATTAGAAAAAAAATCCTTAATTTTTGTTCTTGAATAAATCGCACTAATCTAGCATTAAAATTTGCCATCTTTGGTGTGTTTACATTCATTGATATTAGGTATAAAATATGACCCAAGGAATTTCCAAGATATAAAGCTTTTTTTTTTTTTTTTTTTTTTTTTTTTTTTTTTTTTTTTTTTGCTAAATAGGTAGGTATTTTCCACCAGATTTACCTGCCAAAATAACATGAAATGTATATAATATGAAGGATATAAATATGACAAGGAATTTTCAAACATGTAGAGAGTACATATAAAGCCTCTATCACAGTAGGCCACTCACGGCCTTGAGGCTTGTTTGTGTCCAAATTTTGCACAGAATCTCACATGTCGCACAAGTTCTTCTTGTAAAATTTGGAGTTCACAGACAGCCCGTAAGCATGCAGAGAGGATACTGGACATGTCCAAAAGATTCTATAAATAATCTACGAACAACAAAGCTGCAAGCTTAATTTAGAGTATTTGGGCAAAGTCAAGAAAACTTTGTGGTCCATGATGTTGTTTATGTTGCTTTGCATGGTGGCATGCCAGAAAATTCAGCTGATTACATACACTCTATTTCCATAGATTTTTAGATCGATCTATCCCTGTGGGGAGTCTCTCTAGATTACTGTCAGCTTGGCCGGCTTAAGCGTCTGTCCCGCCTACTAAAAGATGTAAGGGGGTAATTAAATCAATAATAACTCTTCCTTTGAGATTAAAAAATCCGCAAGAAATACATTGTAAACAACGCATGGAAATATATTCTATTGCATTTTACCACTAAAACGGCCGTTATCGTAGTAAAACTAAAATCTGTGCTTGTCAGTAGGGCTTTCGATGCCTTTCTTCCCGGTCATCAAGGCATTCGTTGCCAATGACGTTTGGGTGTCACGCGGATTCTCGCGTTCATTCGAGACCAAATAACATATGGCGCCAAACGCTAGTGCAGTCCGCAGACGTAAGTTGCGAGTTTTTGTACAGTGCGTCGGATAACGAACAGCCCAGAATGGCACACATTGTCGATATAAATGCATTTTTAACAAAAAGACGAATATATATCATGAATCTTATATTATTGTTATATAGTGTTGTTGTTGTCTGCTTTTTCCGCGGTTTCAAGTAGGTCACCAGTGACTATGCAATGTCAGAGAGAGCTCCGTCAGTTAATCTCTTAAGAGATTTTAACAAAAAACCGTACGTTTAGGAAAAAAACCCTGGATTAACTTTGAATGCAGGAATGGGGTTGTTGACCATTGGTAAGTACGGGAAAATTGCCGTTTTTTTCCAGGAAAATCCAATTTTTGGCCAAAACAAAGAGTTATTATGACTTTAACTATGGTGTCTGCTCAGCTGACTGCAATTTAGCCTGAACCCCCAGGGAGTTAGGTAGATCTAAAACTTAATCTTTAGATCGATCTAAATCTCTAGGAAAGCACCCATAGACTTTGCTGTAGCCAAGTGTTCATCTAGCCACGCCCTTAGACTTGACCTCCTACACTTTTTCCAAACCCTTCATTTCAAAGAGAATAGCTATCCCCCACATCCCCCACAACCCCCACATCCCCCACAACCCCCACATGCCCCACACCCACCACACCCACCACAGCCCCCACACCCTCCACACCCTCCACAAGCCCCACCTTCCTCCCTCCCACAACAGCCAGCACACCTCCCACTGTTAACATGGTTCTTGATATAGGGGTTGCAAGGGGTTGTAGTCAAGAAACCCGCAGAAACCAGAAAAGATAGATCCTGGTACTTCATGTTTTTAAGTTTGGCTTTTTCTGGTGGTCGAATCTCCTGTGAATCAACGGCACTCCTTAGGTAGGGGCGGGGTTGGCACATCACGTGAAGCATGGACACAGAAAAAGCTAGTGCCAGGTGCTCAGCAACATCTTTAGTCCCTGCACTGATCATGATCTGACTGTTCTCCATGTTTACGCTGACATCTCTAACCCTGAAATCAAAGGTTCCAGAAGATGGGACTCGGACAACAGGTGGCGGATTCTTCTGGCCATGGACCAAATCATAGCACATGACCGTCAGGTGACCTGTTTTCCCACGGCGACCAGGAGTGCCCCTCACACCAGGAATGCCTGGCTCACCAGGGACACCTAAGGTAAAATAATTCAGACATTGCATAATGTGCAAAATAAACAAGTTGCTGCTGACAGGATTTGGTCCATGAACAGGGAAGTAATAGTAAACTACTGGTCATATTTATGGCTTTTCCAAGACAAAAAATTTTGACATCTCTTGTGAATACCATGACATATTGTGTACCTGAAGATTTAATGTTAAAATAATAATCCTTTCTTGTGATATGTCAGTATAATATCATGGTATTGTTTAGAAAACCCAAAAACCGTTTCACTTTTGAGAAGTATAAACTGTATTGCCTGGTGCTGCCACCTACCAGGTACTCCTGGAATTCCTTTCACATAACCCTCCCACTTCCCTTTCACTATGGCCCAGTCCCCGCGTGCATTCTTGATCTGTATTGCCCTCTCAGCATTGTCTGTATTCAGAATACAACACCCACTTTTACCACTTTCCAACTGGAAAACAGAACTGACAAACTTGACAAAAGATAATAGTTGAGAAATAATAGTTCATAATTAATAAATTACAATAAATCCCACTAATATACAATGTTTAAATAATAATAATTTTATTTGCTTGCAATATCTGCAGTTAGAAAAATGTTTGCAAATATCTCCAATCTGTCTCACATACATGAAAACGTGGAAAACATTTTCCCTAGTAATTAATTTAACTACTCCAAACTGAAAATACCCTATGAGACCCTCCTAGTCCCCCCTGACCTTTCCTTCAACTAGTAACTGAACTGTTAACTTCTATCCCGCTGACCTGTAATTTGTCTGGTAACTGGTCGGTGTCAATGAGGTGACCCAAAGCGACCATTTTGTTCTCATAGAATACCTGCACTGCAGACATCAACAGTGATTCACAGTGAATTATACGACAAATGAAGCACAGTTTCTCAATGTGATTGAATATCCTGAATTAAAAATATATCAATATGACAGAAACATTACTAAATGCTGATAAAAAAACTGAAATTGTAATTTACTGTCAATACCGTGCAAACAAACAATTAGTGAGAATACTTGTACCAATACAGTGCATTGACTTTCAATTTAAAAAAAATCAGAAAATAAAACATAATAAACAACTAGGATCTGAGTTAGTAGTTAAAGAGATAACAACTGTTCTTTTTGGCTAAAAAAGTAATTTTCCTGGGATTAAGGACAATTTTCCCATACTTGCCAATGGTTAGTGAATCCATTTCCACATTCAAAGTTAGTCCCCGTTTTTTCTAAAAAGTTTGGTTTTTGTCATATTCTGTTTAGTGATTATTACAGAGTGTATAGCCATCTATGGAGGTCACATGACGTAATGGCAAGCACAAATTCCAGACTTATTGCATTAACAGCCATTTTGGTGTTTAAATATAATTATGTACAGACACAGATGTGTCTGTACATATAGCCATCATCTGCGTCTGTCGTCGCCGCCGTCGTCGCCGTCGTCGCCGTGCACTTTTACCGATAACACGATAAGTGGAAAACCGTTTTACCTTTTGACATGAAACTTGCAGAACTGATGAATATTCATAATACGCAGGTCAAGTTCGAAAATCAGCATGATCGGGTCACTTTTAGGGAATTTATGCTGTTTTTTCACTTTTTTCAGCATATATGCAGCACCGATAACACGATAAGTGGAAAACCATTTTACCTTTTGCCTTGAAACTTACAGAACTGATGAATATTCATAATACGCAGG